AATCGTTACGCTGAAAGCAGCTGTAATAATTATGACAATGGGACTTTGAAAACCTAAACCCAATGATGTCAAAAGGAAGGATAGGCTCATCTAAATATTTTACTCATAACTTTTTCATACAAGAAAAAGTAGCGCATCTGTCATAATACAAACGTCATATCAAAACACAACGTAATCAGGGTCGAATTTCGTAGTATAATTATCCTAATTGTATCATTATTTCATAGTTTGTAATATATAATATCGTAATAATACAAAGCGAAAATACCATAATTTTACCTAAAGGTCGACTTATACTATTATTTGATCCTTTTAAATTTTAATATTAACATACCTACAATGTCGATAATTTTTGTATTGTACATGAGTACCGCGTTTTTTTAATAAAATTAGAATTCGCTCCCTTTCTGGTCAATCGATGCTCGATCAATGCATTTATGTTGCATCCTTGATACAACTTTAATTTCAGTTTGAAAACAGAATTTCAAAATATTTTAATAATCAGATTTTCAGACTCAATTAAGCAGATATGGCTTCTTTTGTATTCTTTTCGTTTTACTCTAATAGGATATAAAATATATTAGGTACCAATATTCAAAATGTAACTTACACTAAGTTCTTTAGACAAAAATTAAACGGAAATAAAAATAAAACCCTCAAAAAACGAAACGTATAGATAAACTAGACGCATGACGCCAAAATCCTGGAACATGGTAGAAAAGAAACATGAGACGTCAAACGTGATATAATTTAAAAAATAAGTATAATTTTAATTTCAATGTACAATATTTTTGAGGGTCTGAATGCAGCCCTGGCCTAATCTTGGTAACGTAACTATAGTAAATATAAAATAAAACTTTAAAAATGCGTTTATATAATAATTTAATTGTAACAAAATTAATATAAGGTTATTTACCGATGATACATAATCCCATGTTTTTTTAAATCTTTGTATCGTAATTTTTGCATTTTTTTACCACGCAACTAAACATATTTATGACAGGCAAATCTGTCCTGCGCGCGCACTACTGACCGATTCGCGTTGGCCCTAAACTGTAATTTTAGGGCCAGCGCACTGGTCCGTTTTAGTTGTTCGGTCGGCCCGGTCCTTACGCTAGTAATATATAAGTCAATGCCTAAACCACTGTTAACTGGACTGGAGGAGCTTCCAACGTACGGCTTATCCCTTGGTCTGATTGACTGGCTAAAGTGATTTCTGAGTAAAAGGTCTCTCCGGCTCATCGTCGATGGCTGTTCATCCGATCCTGTGGTGACTAACGTCGGTGTTCTTCAGGGGTCCATTCTCATTGTTGCTCCGCAACTCTCTTCCTGCTGCATATTAATGATCTGCTTATGCCCGGTATCTATGGGTTTGCAGACGATAGCATAGTATTGAAAAGATACCAACCAAGTCCTCGGGCCAGTCGGGATCAAATCTCTGCTGAAAGAGAAGCTATGGTAGAGCGTGTAAATCTCATACTACAGGCAGTTTCCGAATGGGGCAATGCCTATCTTTTAAAATCAATGCCTCCAAAACACAAACATGTATCTTCACTGCAAAAAGTAGCTAGCTCATCTTGGCTCCTTCTTTCCGAAATGTATCACAGGAATACACCGACTGCCTTCAGGTGTTGGAGGTTGAGATATCTTTAAATCTGAACCTCGGGCGGTTCATTGAGCCGAGGGCACAGAATAAATAATAGTACTACGTACACAAGTTGCGTACACACTGCTTACCGATGTTTAATAGCCTACATAATTATTATTAATCAGATAAATCGCACACGCAAGCTAAATAAAACTTTATCGCTGCGCGCTAGTGTCCATATTACTTTGCATCTTTTTTGTCACGGCGGACTTTTCGCGGTTATTAAGGGATTTCAATAGAAAGTAAAAAAATACATTGCGAAATGTTAATTATGTTACTTAGGTGAAGTACTAACTAACATTCTGACTATGATTGACTAACCATACTTTCGCCCATATGTGAGTTCTGCCATGCCTAACGCCATTGAGTTATACAACACTAGAGGAGCAAGCCACATTACCGCGCGTCGAAAAAAGTGTAACCACTATCCAAACGCGACGACGTAGCTTTGAAACTAATAACAATTTTAAATAAACATATATCTATCTCACTTACACAAGTTGCGAAAACAATATCGTCGCTAAGATTAGATAAAGATAGACACACAAACGTGCAATGGCGGGTTGGTGTGGCTTACTATATGAAATTTTACCTAAAATACGCAATAAAAATGAGTTTTTTTTAAGCTGCAGTTAATTGTTTTTATATTAAAAAAGTATATTTTATTTTATAATCTTTGTTGCGTCCCCTTAGAAAAAAAAAGGATACAAAGCTTATCAGATAAATAGAAGTAAACATAATGATGAAATAAAACATATTTTTATAAGTATTTTTATTGTACTAATAAATCAAACAATATAAAAGAGGTAATAAAATGTAATTAATATAAAATTTATATGAAATTATAACTAATATATAATTATTAATATAAAATAAGTAGGTCATAAAATATATTTAATAGATAATTCATAAATAAACTAAAATAAGAATAATTAATTACTTTGTATGAAAGTTAAAACGTGGTTTTTATTATAATTTCCAAAATATTTGAAATCAGAGGTAACAAATTAACTTACTCCATTAATTATATAGTCTCCCATTAATGTAGGATAATCACAAATGCGGAAAAGTGGCAACATTGAACCTAAATGGCAATATTCGATAATTTTATTTAATTATTTGAGGTTTTTTACGTTTATATGAAAACAAGAACTAAAAATTATGTGTTGAAAGTGATTCCGCTTGTTTTGTTACGTTTGTGTGACCTTGAACAGCATTCTTTCACTACGCATTTACCCATTTTTTGTCGCGGCTCAACTCTGTCGGCGTCACATTGAACACTGAACTGACGTTAGCTAGGCATATGGCTGTGGCCATATGTGCAGTGGCAACGCTTTGGCGCGGTTATTACTGATCTAGTGTAATATATAAATCAATGCCTAACGCAAGCAAATTGCAAGGTCATTCGTCGGGAATCGTAACGCTTGGGAGAAATAGGTAGATAGTGTAAACAACAAATAGACCTGAAATACGATTTCTAACAGAAATGTGATCTATTCTATTTAGTTAAAAGTCTTGTTAGTATACGAAGTTTTAATTTCAGTATTTTGTGTTATTATAACTCAAAATATTTTAATTACAAAAGACAAGTATAGGTATGTAAGTAAATACTTGGATAGTGAAGTAAATTTTAACTAATTTTTGTAATGAAGTACTTGGGTATTTCTTCTGTAGACCAAATTATTACTTAATTCTTTTTTTGCTCTGAATACCTATCTAACAAAAAAAAAATTAAATAAATTCACTTTTCATAACTTCCTTCTAAAATTCTTCGGTAACTTAAAGAATGATATGAAACCTTTTGTTGGTCATTTCATTCAGCATCCATCTAAGCAACAGTTATAGTAGGAACGACGTTTTGCTATTATAATTTATCAAATAGGTAATATACATATTATTTAATTTTTAAAATATATTAAAACTTTTACAACTATTTTTACCTACAATTAAATATACTAAACAAAAACTATTTCAACAAGTATTTACATAAAACTATTTACGTAAACAGCGTTAAAAAAACTCCAACATTCATTTGCCTCCAACGCGCTAGCCCCGACTGCGTTATTTAGCCCGGGCGCGTCGCGATTTTAGGTAATTATTTCACGCAGGTAGCAAGAGTGATAGAGGCCTGCCGAAGGTCAAATGTAGTACTAAATGTTACCTAGCAGCTTTGGAATCAATGGAAAGACGTGCTAAGAGGCTTATTGGTGACTCAAATTTGGTTAAAATCAATCATAACAACCTCGATCACAGACGCAAACTAGGCAGCCTTTCAAGAGGATGTATTTCGGGGAGTGTGCGCAGGTATTGCATGATTTAAGTCTTCCCTCCCCCTTCCACCATTGGACAACTAGACGTTCGGCCATTCACCAACTTTTCGTTGTTGATTTACTACGCATTCGAACCAAACGGTTTGCTACATCGTTCATCTAGGTACATCAAAGGAGTGAAATAAGTTGCAAGAACCTGTGTTTCCTTCCGATTACAACGAAGGTGTCTTCAAGGCAATAATGAATAGGCTTTTGATAAGTCAGTGCGCTTCACTATCTTAGGCTGCACTATCACTTACCATCAGGTGGGTACTTGTAGTTAAGCGCTGCCTTAGAATAATATAAAAAAAAACACTTTTGGTAAATCCAAATGTGCATGCCTTCAGTCATCGTCTCAACTTGATAGAAAAAATTCTAATGAATTATCAATAAATAATCCACAAACAGAACCAAAGTTTGTTCTTTGAAAAAGAAATTGTAGCCAAAAAACATCGGATAATTACTTTTTCCTCACCTGGATTTACAAAATTTATTCATAAGCCACTAAAACGACTTTTTAATGTAAAAATAGCAATTAATCGATTAAAAAAAAATAAGTACAAAAACCATTTATATTTCTGACAATGTGTTTATATAATTTATATGTTCAATACGATTTTTAGATATGATTTCATGCGACAAAACATTGGATTCTCGATTTTTAGGCGCTAGTAGAACATACCTACGCGCTTCGCGCTTAAGACAAGCAAAAAGGTAATCATTTGCAGTAGCAATGCACCGACTGGTATGCATATTCAAAAAGCAAAAGTGATGTCCTTCGGCAAAGAAAACAACTCTAGGATGATTATTGCTTTATTAGTTATTGCAAACATGCTAGTGTTAAACTAATAATTTTTACAGCCATATCTTAAGAACTAGGCGTATCTGGATAACGATATTAAATTTAGATAATAAATATTTACAAACAATTTTTCCATTTAACTATCATAATATAATTAAACAAAGTAGAATTGCACACAGTAATGTATTATATTTTTACTGAGGTATTATCTATATCTATTAGTGCTTTCTGAATTCTGGGTTTACTTTCTTCTTTCAATGGCGATGTTATGACCAGAATAAGGTTTGAGCAGGAAATCAAACTTTAGCAACATTTTTTTGTAATCGCCTGTAACTAAATACTTACGCAAAAAATGTGAAATAATTGTCTTTAACCACATCATCGCATAAGCCTTACCTGAAAAAAATGTTATTAAATTTAATTTAAAAAAAATCTTGATTTACACGCTTGTTACAAGTTAAACAACTAAGTAAATGTGCACTCGTAAACACTCCTCCACTCGGATACATGCAAATTTATCTTTCATTCCTTGATAGAAGTTATTTCGTTTTAAAAATATTATTTCAGTATGTTTACCTATACAGTTTCTTCTTCCCAGGCTAAAAGCTAAAAAAGAATTTGAATTCTTTGGCAAGGTTTCTGGGTTCAGCCACCTCTCCGGCTTAAAATCATTCGCATCTTCACCCCACACAGAATGTCGGTGTACACCATATATGAATAACAAACAATTTTTTCCAGAATGTAATGTATAATTTTCTGTAAGATAACAAAAGGCCTTTTTTACATTTTAGTCACGTACTCATCATCATCATTATCACATATTACCGGCTACTAATAATTTACGCTATCACACTTACGTTGACGTTTGTGATAGGTTTGCAGGATAAAATATTTGGTATTGTTTACATTTATATCGAACTGTGATAGTTCAGCGACTGGACGTTTGCCTTATATTACACGCCTCATTACGCAAAGCATTTTAGGTAGTGCTTATCTCCCGAAACGTCAAGGTGAAGCAATTTTGTAGTCCTAAAATGCCTCTATCATAACCATATTATACCTATACGATCATATGAGTAGCTGTATAATAAGAAAGCACTCTAATTAATCTATATTATATTTTCTAAAAGAATAATTCTATATTGTTAATTTGTAAAAAAAAGCCGTTTGAATTTTTTTTACGTGGACGTCGGTATCCCTGTACGCTGATTTTGATGTGGTCACGAAAACTCTCGAAAATATTGACGTATCGAGACCGTTTATTTTTATTAGCTTCAAAATTACATCAACTGCGTCCCTGTCGTTTTTAAATGTATTTGTTAATAAAATGATTTTTTTATAAATATGCCTTCTATTTAATAATTTCCATTTGATTAATTTTTAAGCCCTTGATAGACAAATGACAAATATACCATACTACCAATATCAATTTTATACTTTGCGCAATCGATTTATTTTCGTAATTTATTTTTTTATCAAAATTAAATGAAACGTCCCTGAGGCGTGCGCTTTTGGATTTTCCAAATTTTATTTATTAGTACATGCAAGCAACCCAAGCACCATCTCATCCAGTAAAATGAATATTGTTAATATTGTTGTGCGCGAACGTGCGCATGTGGGGTAGGGAGGAGGAGAGCTTTCCAGAAATGAATCCTTTTGGCCATTATTTCGAAGAAGAACGTTAGAAGGACACTGAACTTTCGACACCTTGCGCGTATTTACTTGAATGTTCTGGATGTTTCGGTGCTAATGTGTATTTATAGGTGCTGAAGGTGGATGAGAAGTATTGTTTGGCGAGGGAGTGGAGGAAATAAAGTGAATAGTGTGATTAATTATTAGTGTAAAGTGAATTAAAGAGTTAATTTTGGTAATTTCGGATTTTGTCGAACCTGGTCTACAATTTTGAGTGTAGAATAATTAGATGTTCGGCAGTGAAAACCACATCACGAGGTAACCTGCATATCTGAAAAACCATAATACCAAAGCATATTTTGAGGGCATGTGACGATAGCCGAAACTCTTTCCGTGCTTCAAAACTCTTTCAATAACTAACGGAGGTCAAAAAGCAACAACGCGTTTCTAAGCTGTTATAATACTTACGTGATTTTTACGTAAATATTTTTAGAATAAATATAGAATACGGGTGATAAACGAGAATACAGTCCTGGTGGTAAATAGATACTGTGACCTATAGAAGTCTAAATTTATCCTCGATTAAGAATCAAAATTTAGATGAGTTGTTACCCTTGAGGACTAAGATAGAATACCTCGTTTTCTGGGTCTCCGGTTCTCTATACTCATCATACGAAACACGGCTGCTCTTTTTACGGTGGTATTCTGTGAGGGCGTGATCCAGTTGCGATCGAACCGACCCATTTGTGCTATACCCATAATATAGCTACAGCGTAATATAAAGCAGCAGATGTGTTAAATTGAACGTTCAAGTTCTTAATAATGTAGTAGTAGTTGTTAATAGTGTAAAGGCTGTTATTATGTAGTAGTGTATTAGCCCTGTTATCCGCCAATTCCAGCCAGTAACATTATAAAACTTATCCTTCCATTTATTAAACATAACCACGTATAAATCTTGAGAACTGCTTTAATAACTACGAGTATTTAAAAAAATGTTTTGTTATTTAAGGAGCACGTCCATAAGAGATAAATATAACGTATTAAATTAACACCTACTTAGTTTTAAATCCATGTCGATAAATCGGTTTATAACAGGTGCAATTGGGTACAACCTCAAAGATTCCTTTATAACTGCCTCCAAGTACGTAAGACGTGGTAAGTCTTGCTTTTCAACATCCCTGTCAGACTGCCCAAATACTTCTTCAAGCCTTAATACAAATAAAAATTTCGAGTTACTTTTCAGTCTTGAAATGTATTAATTAAAGAGAAGAAACCGTAAGAAATGTTAAAAACATAATACATAAGTTCAACTTATATAGTCTTCTATTTATAGTCTTCTGTATCTCACTACAAATTTTTCAGGAGTCATTTCCCGCAGCGTTAGCCATCAATCACCACACAACATAAGATATTAATTATGTTTCTGATATTTTATGAATAGAAAAAGAAAACATTTTGAATCAAAATATTTTTACACTTCAAGTAAGTGGTAAATTTCAAGCACCTTCCAGGGCCTATAGTCACGGGAGGGGACGGAAGTGTCACACACTTCCGTCTCCCCCCGTGACAACGGGCGGTAAGGTAGGCCTTCGTTAAGTATAACATCGTGACGTCAAACACCTCAGCCCCCCTCTGTGACCGTGACAGGTGCTGGATATTGCACGAAACGTAGGGACTTGAAAAAGCTAAAATAAAACGGGATAAAGTCAGTAAAAATTAGTTTTATCTCATTAATTCACGTAAATATAAATAATCATTACGAAAACATTCAGTTAAATAAGACATTTTTACAGATAAAATTACAGAGCAAAACAAATAAATAAATAAACGGACTTAAGAAAATTAAATATGAATTTAAAAATACTAGAACGACTCATATTTTTTCAGGCCACAAAGTCACAAGTCTCAACGGTCAAGTGCCACCGCTAAAGGGAATGTAGCGTCGTCCAAATTTTGACGGAATGCTTCCTCGTACATACGCAAGACATACGCAAGAAAGAGTAATGGATCAAACTTTTTGGTCTTCTGTACAATTTGTCGAAAATTTTTTGTAAAGCTTGTAAAGCTTTTTCTCAAATGTAGTTAGATGGAGTAACGCATTTAGTGACCCTTACAGAACGGATTATGAGTGAGACGGCGGTGGGGTGGGGGTGGCGTAATACAGGTTATTTAATTTTTATATAAACCAGATGATAGTTTTTGCGAGAGATATATCAAATAAAAAATAGTTTAAAAGAAAAGAAGAAATTAGTGATTAGCAAGGAGAATAGAGACTAGGAATGTAATTGGTATACTTATGATACAATGTTACGTATTTTGGGATTAAAAGTAATTTGCTGATACTTTTGTGTTGAATGAATTTCTAAATAAAACGAACTAAACTTTTAAATTTAGGTAAAATTATTTTAAACTCACTCATTGTAAACTTTATCTTGAACTTCCTTGTACGAGCCGATTAAGAGAAGTGTAATTACAAGATTTGTTGCAATAGTATCATAACCGGCCACAATCAAGGTATTAACGTGATCTATTACATCTTGTTTAGAGAAAGCGCTTTCGCCATTCGAACTTTCCAAATCCAATAACACATCGCTAAATGACTTGAGATTTTTACCTGTAAGATAAAAATATATTTAAAAATAAATAAAAAGCTAAATTAATGTACTTTTTGATGTTTAACAAACCTGAGGTTTTAGTCAGCGTTGAATGATACGTTTTCTTACGTTGCTCTACGATCTGAAAGAGTCACAAAATTCGAGGGAATGAGAAATCATTTTAAACCTCCAGGTTATGCCGAAATTTTACCGACTATAAATCTATGGTATTCCACCTTCACAGCATATTTATTGAGCCACTGGAACACTTTTGCACACACAGGCAGCCATGGCTGAGCCACCTACATCTATCTATCCCTCGATGTATTCGATAAATTTTGTTCCTCATCTATTGTAGGTTCTTCGAGATATATCACTGGCCCATTGCCACTTCACCTTACTCTCCGTTAGGCTATGTCGGTTACTCTAGTCCTACTGCTGATATCCTCATTTCTAAGTCTGTCACGCTAAGAAACTCTGAGCTTGATCCTTCTCATACGGTCAATAGTGAAGGAAAACGTCTCAGACTCAAAATATGGCATCACCGGTAACACGCACTAGTTTTACAGTTTTATTTTTAAGTTATAAGGTATACGTGACGAGAAGATGTGTCGTAGTCTCCCGAATGCTACCCAACCGAGTTGAATCCGTCGATTGACTTCTCGGTCAAAGTGAGACTTACCTAGTCGGAAAGTCTAAATAAGTCTCACTTCTAGTAAAGTCTAAGTAAATAAGTAAACTGGTCAATAACTTAGATCTTAGTGGTCCCAATAACCACTGGCATATGTGTAACATGGACGTTACACAAAATTTTTGTTTTGTCCATTTAAAGACCAATCTTTTGAAAGACACTTTTGTGATCATTGAGCATAGCGCTAATGAACTCAAGCAATTCTGGCATAAGAAATTTACCCTCGGCAAATCAATAGGGTTTTATGTACTCGCCATTGATGTCAATACCGTATATTTTCAGTTCAGTAGCTTTAAAACGTCTTCCAATGCAGCGGTGAAAAGTTTCAGGGATATAACGTCACCCGATCATTCACCTTTCTGCTGTTGGATGGATTTTGTAATTTGGTTACGCACTCGGAAAACCATCGCAGCTCTGCTGCACAACTGCACTTCGATATACCGATATTAAACTTGATATCCTTGAAGGAGTCAAAGGATTTCTCCACACACGCAAGACAAAGTGGCAAAATGTACTCTTCAGTCTTCTTTAAAATTTGCCGAAGTGTATGTTCATGTTTTCCGAAAAGGCTTAAGTACTATTGAAATAAAGCCTTTTCAGAAACTGGTTTGTTCGGGAAGCTAAAAGTTGTCGTGTTTGCATGCGAGACGATCTGTAAGGACTCTCGACAACAGCGTGTAGACGCGGCTCAGAAGAGAAATCTATCTGTAGTTCTTCAATACGAGTAGAGCGTTCTCATCTTTTTTGAAGAACGATACCAATTATAGAGCTATTCTGCTCAATGCCCATGGAATAGTGCCACCACGGAAGATGGAACTAAAGAGCTTCTGTAGAACGGTAAGTTCTGGTTTAAACCCACTTTAAAAAAAATCTGGTGTGACTACGTCTTCACCCGAGGCCTTGCCTTATTAAGGTGCTAGGGGATTATTCTAATTTCGCTCAGACTAACGTCTTGGGTATCATTAGAATAGTGTTGGATGAGTCTTACTTTTGGATCATTAAACTCAAAATCTCAGGTATCCCGGAAACGATACCACCAGATTCGATCTTCAAATTCGACAGTTGTCTCAATCGCTTATTCAGTACGACTTGTATTGAGGTTGCATAAGTCTCACCGCATGCATTTGGTGATCTGTATACTTAGCTGCCTGTATCTTGTCATATTTGCTGAAGGCAGCTTCATCTCCCGTCTAATAGCCTTGCGACTTCACTGCTTTGATGATCGCGGGTGTCCTAACTGTACGAGGTCGGCCGGTCCTCTTACGATCTTCGAAGCATGAATCTTCAGTGAATCGTTTGATAGTGCGATAAACAAATCATAGGATTATTTTAAATTTTTGTAGAATATTGAAAATCTCTTTTGGCTTGTAACCAAAGCGGTGACACGCGATAACCGCTACTTTATCTTCTTTCTTCGACTACTCAATATTTGAAAATGAATGAAAATTAATGTCTTTTTTATTTTCGGCAAGCGTAAACGTTATATTTTTAAAATTGGTGAAGTACATCCAGACAGTATTCAAAAAATTTAAATAATATGGTTTTGAGAGAACTTATGTCAATTATTAGCTTTTTCAATTTAACAGAAAAAAAAACTTAAAACAAAATATTGATATAATTGAAAATTTTCAAGTTATTTGAAGAAAAAAAAAACAAATTTTCAAGATTTGTTTCGTTAACAATATCTCTCGAATCACCGATTTTGTTGCTGTTCACGGCAGTCGATGTCATTTTTTGAGTAAAAGAGCTAATTAAATTATAGAAGTGATAAAAACAAGGTGTCGGACAGAATCAACCGTGACGATTTGGTCTAAATTCAGATTAAATCTAAGTCCATCAAGGCTCTTTCAGATGCCGAAAACCGTTATTCGACCGGACACTCCGTTACAAAGTTATAAAAAGTTTACATATTTACACACACACACACACACACACACACACACACACACACACACACACACACACACACACACACACACACACACACACACACACACACACACAAGCACACACACACACACAAATACATATAGACATACAGAAATAATCGCAAAAATAGTCAGAATATCTTCCTCGGACCTCGAAACGTCGAGATGTGTTAAAAAGTTAAAAGGTCTTTGAATAATGAAGTGGTTAAAATAAAACGATTAGACGATTTTCTAGAATATATAGAGCTTGTCATGTTTGCTAATATATTCAAAAGGTGAAAAAGCTTTAAAACAATGTATAAATGGATTTAAAAAAAAAATACCCTTACGCTTTTAAAATCGGGGGTTTCTTCGATACATTATTAAATTTAGAAGAATACGGATGTATTGCCACCTAGATGACTAAGAAGAAAAATAATGAAAAACGAGAAGACTAATTAAGAATGAGAATATAAAATATTTATACCTTGTTTGACACATCGTGTAAGAACTCGATATCTTTATCTTGTTGCTTTTTTTGTGCTGCTCATATTCCAAATAAAATCTTTGTAATACCATATATTTTGGATTCTGTGAACCACACTTCTGAGAACTCTATCCGTTAAGGTCACATATTTTGCGTTGAGTGTTTTGTCAGCTCTTAAATCTATACCTGTTGCTGTCACTAAAACAAAAATAAATGTCTGTTATTGTGCAATTGTGATTGTAATTAACTATACTTAACATTCCATGAAGAATATAAGCACAGACTATTGGTTACATACGGGGACGATATAACAAGTTTTTCTGATGTTTTCAGAACAAAGGGTTTCCTAACACGGACTGGAATCCTTATACTGGAATTATGTCTATTTGTAAAAAAACAATAATATAATTTGAAATCTGATTCAAAGAAAAACATTCGCAAACAATATAAATATGATATAAACTTACCTATTATTAAAAATACAGTTTACTATAAAAGTACCTATATTACTGCCATTCGTGTATATCGTCAGTTACCATCAGCTATTAAACAACAATTATAAATTTAACTTTATCTTTATCTAAAATTTCACTAATTATCTTACAGTTAGTTTAAGTTTTAGTTACCTTACAACGCGCACATTTGTTTTTCTAAATATTTCATACCACTGTATTTAGCTGGTTAAGTACGTTTTTAACGCGAGCTTGACCTGGCTAAAAAGAGCTTGATCTGCTACGTATATAATACATAAATAATTGTATAACGTATTTGTATGTATGTGATTTTCTTCTTTTTAGAGAATTCAAATAAATGCTTGTTTTTAAAAATATTTTCGTAATGAAATCTTCTCTAGAATCATTGTGACTTAAAACTCAATGAAACCAAAAAGCAACACTAAAAAGAGACAAACTGTTATATCTATAGTATGTAGCCTGCGAAAGAATGAGATAGAATACCGTGTAGTAAGTGATAGCAGCCTAATGGCAGGGTGCGGACTGCGAACACTTTTGAGTTGTGTGTTCCGATCCGCCATTCGACTACTGTCGCGAATTACTCATAAAACAAGCATTTCCAGCATATTAATGTATTTAAAAAAATAACAGTGATTCCTATAGAAGAGTTATACACTTTGTGCGGTGCCTTAAAGATGGTAAATATAAATTTTAACTGAAAAATAAGCAGTATAAAAATTAATAACCTTATTATATAAATAAAATTAACCATATACCATAATGTTATCTTAACCAATCCATTCATAACAATCCACGATAAAATAACTTTACCTATATACTGAATTAGATATCGCTATAACAAAGCAATTTTACTTGATTTTTTTTATTTGGATATGTCTCAAAAATTTGGGCTCTACCTGTCTACAAATAAGGATTGTAGCATTTATCTGCTATAAAATTAAGTTTTTCTTCAATTTTATGCCATACTTTTAGATAAAAATTATCATATTAAAAATCAACATTAAAATAATATTCAAACTTTAGTTAGGTACCATACGCCATTCGTATCATTTGTTCAATTGTTGTAATTTAAAACTTGAAGACTGTTTAATATGCAATGTAAAAGGTATGCTATGTAGAATAAAATGTAAACTAATTTTTAAACTTGGTAATAATATTAAATAATAATAATAATCATCATTTGTTTCGGACCATGATCCATATATATGGGTTAATAAGTAATTTATAAACTAAAATATGTTAGTAACAACATTAACTAATGTTAATTATTATTGTTAAATAATAACTAAATTAGTAAGTTAGTAAGTAATTTATAAAATAAAATATGTTAGTAACAACATTAACTAATTATAACTGATTAAATAAACCAAACAATCCTACTCCAGATACTTTGCATTCGTCTCATTCTCTCGAAGGTAAGTTTACTGAAGGTTTCGCTTCTACCGCGTGTTACCATATAACACCTGCACGCATGTTTTTTTTTTAAATATTAATTTATTAATGCTCACGAGATATTCCATTTAAGTAATCGAGGTTGGTAACCTATCTGCATTTTGATTTATGATCAAGGATAAAATGATGTATTTGAGCTAAAACATACACTTCTCATTGGGTACCGGGGCCAGGTACACGATTTCCATCCTTACTTACATAAAAATAATTTAGAAATAAAAGAAGTACTTACAGAATATTGTCTCCAACGAGTTACGCATTATATACTTTTCATGATCAAAAGGTCCCTTTCCCTCTTCCATAGAGAACTGTTCAAGTAAAAGTCTCGATTGGATATTGAAAAGATCTAAAAATCCATCTAAAACTTGTTGGTTAAACGCCGTATTTAGTAATTTTCGGTGGGTTTTCCATTTTGTTACTGTATATGTCCATAAAAGTAAATCCTTATTTTTATTTTAAATACATAAAACAAAATCATGCAAGTTTTACTTACGCGGTGCAGTCAACAAGCCCTCCCCGAGCCACGGTTTAGCAAAATCATACAAAAATCCTTTCCCTAAACATGAGTTCGCAACAGTCATAAAATCGTCAGGATCTGTTAATACTGTAACAGTGATAAAAACGAAAAAACTGTAAAAGATGCACTGATCCTCACATTTTCTCACGGTGTTTTTGCTACATGCTTCATGGTAAAAGAAAATATTGTTGGGAAACCAGTATTTTTGAATGAAAGAGAAAAAAAATTAAGAAGAGTGAAGTGTTTTATTTGGTGGAATTGTAGCAAAGTTTCTGAATGTGGTTGGAGAACTGGTACATATAGTCCTTCGATGCTAGTAGGTTCCGCTCTCAATGGTGGCGCTACACTGGAGGTGTGGAGTGTAAGTGCGGTGGTTTAGTTTTTCAAGAAAAGCGCCAATTTTCTATTGAAGAACTATACACCGATTTCATTCATTTATATTCAATGCTATGCGGACGACAGCATTGGTGATGATTTATACACCGGCCATGCCAATATTTCTCCGAGTACCGGGGACAAATTTGTGTTGGAAGTCGAGACTTTTTTGAACAGTCTTGGATTGGGGGCGACTAAATCTAGTCCAGTTCAATCCCCAAAAGGCACAAGTTTGCGAGTTTACCGCTAAAAGGAAAATGCCCTCAGTTTCAAGGCACACCCCTTGTTGACTTAGCCAGTATTGAAATCTTCGGCGTCGACATATCAAGTGACGTGCAGTTTCGTGGTCATTCGGAAGAGAAGGCCAAATTGGCCTCTAAAACGCTTGGCGTGCTCAGCAGATCGTTACAGTATTTCATGGCGGCACACCACCTGCAACTTTAAAAGGCGTAGGTTTGGCCGCACATGGAATACTGTTCCCATCTCTGGGCTGTGGCTCCCCAGTGCCAGCTCCTTTCATTTGATCGCATTCAGCGCAGAGCCGTTCCAATCGCCGGCGACCGATCTTTTTTCGATCGACTTGACTCACTAACACTGCAAGAGATGTTAAACCTCTTTGCGTATTTTATAGCATTTACGATGTGGAGTAATCGGAGGCATTGTTTGAACTAATTCCAGCCACACAATTTCACCATCGCATATATTTACAAAACTTGCGATGCCATCCATACCCTCTGGATGACTGGCGGTCCACTAATGTGCGATTCAAAGAAAGATTTCTTTTTCGCACTACTACCTTGTGGAATCGACTACCACCAGAGATTTTTCCGCACCGATACGACTTAGGGAGCTTCAAGAAAAGAGCCTAATTCTTTTTAATAAACCGGAAATGCATCGGCAACTATCCTGGTGTTGCATTGTATCACTTACCATCAGGTGAGCCATATGCTCGTTTCCTATCTCTCCTATAAAAAAGATAATCTGTACCAATAGGTGGTCATTGATCAATTGCTATCTCGCGATCACTTCTAGATAAACCATTTGTTAAGGCGATTATTTCCTAGAAGTGCGCCTAAAATACAAAATATATGAGAAATATAAAGAACCTGTATAATATAAGAAAGTACTTAAAAGCTCACACATTTTTCATATACCCAAAAATTTACTGGAGAAAAGTGGAGAAAAGTCAACGAATTTTATTGAATGGAACAAAAAAATAATTTTCCATAAGTTTTCAATGTTCGATTACGAAAATTCAGTGCCACATAAATTAGTGAAATATGTAAAATTTTGGCTTTATTAATATTGCAATTGATTTATGGAATTTGAAATATGCTTACCATAACATTTAATGTGGCCCAATGAGAGCGTTGTAACATCTCCAGCTTTAGAGCAATCATGTGATATGGTTTTTAAAGCTTCCCATAATCCTAAAGTATAAATATTATAAATATACTATTATAAAACTGAAGGCTTACTTCCAAAATTTATTTCGATTTCGATTCAGTTTTCGATTCGAAATCAGTTTTAATCGATTTTCTTTTTAAAATCTTTCACCATAACGATAATTAGTATTGAGAACCAAGATCAATTTATCAATCAAGAACCAGCGTTATTAGTGCTGTTAGGCACATCGAATACTTTTATCCAAAAATACTTTTATTAAGTAAAAATGCACTTATATACACTATAAAACGTAGAAGTAACACCTAATATTTGAAACAAAATCTTCCATTGAAACTCTATTGCTGATTAGCTTATAGCATGTTTTATTTTATTAAAACTCGGGACGCACTATCAAGGATGACATTATTTATCGCTAGGTATTGCTTTGAATTGTTATTCATCATAGAAGTCACAAAACAGTCAATCTATCACATAATATTATATATGACGCCGTTGAGCTCGTCACTTAATCACAGGGGGCATTTTATGTAATTCATAATTTGCAATGAAGTTTTAATTAGTCAGTAATAAGATAGTAATGGTATTCAAACTAAACGACTCGACTACCACCCGCGATTTTTCCGGACCGATACGACTTAAGAACCGTCATGATGCAATTCTCCTGGTGCTGGTGTTGCAGTTGTTCTTGGGCGACGGTAGTCACTTACCATCAGGTGAGCCACATGCTCGTTTGCCACCTCTGCTATATAAAAAAATAAAACTCGTTTGCAGCTCAATTGTTAAGCCACTCTTACTGCAGCTCAATTAAGAATTTGATTTAAATTTTCCGAATAATTTATTAATAATAAAAATACTCGCTGCCTTTTCTTTGCTCACTTCGAATCCGCGGACATACGTAGAGACGCGGACAGTCATTCCTTATCCTACTGTCGCTGTTATTACTTGATTGCAGTATGAATTGGTCGACTCTACCGGTGAAGTATCTCGCTCTCACATAATAATAACATAAAGTAGCAGCTTAATGTGCTGAATTTCTGGTGATGTAGAAAAACGGAGCCCCTATTGACTGGAAACAATTATTCTATCTTAGTTCTCAAGGCTAACATAACGTCTACATTTTTATTCCTAATGGAGTACAAATATTGATGTCCATGGACCACAGAATTCACTTCCCACTAGGTAGACTGTGTGCTCGTTCGTCACCCTTCTTATGTAAATATATGTGCTTTTATATTATTGACAAATTCATCAGAATTTATAGTTAATTAGCTATTAACGACAAAAAATTTGGACTTTACTTACTTTATTTGAAAACAAGCTATACAATATAATAACAAGCTAGTAAAAACCTCGAATAAACCTGAACTTAACTTATCGTAATCGGTTGCACTTGTAGCTAGCTAAACTTATTTGTAACCGTACTTCGGTTTTAGTCAAAAATTATACACATAAAACGATAGATGATGCGATCAGTTTGAAATTTTTTATACACATGTGTATGAAAATTAATAGGTATCAAGTTGTTGGTATTATCAAGAATAATACTAGTGCTGGTATAAAAATGACGCTTGTACATTAGACTGACTTAAATTTGATATGTTTTCCTTGTTTATTTATAATATAAGCAAAAAATTTATAAATAATTGAAAATTACTTACTTAAACCACCCCCAAATAGTAGATGTGCATGTCCTATTATAGGCAGACCATTAGGTAGAGGCGGTGGTTCATGTTTTGACCTTAAATATCCTTTCAATAAGTAAAATCCACAAAGAATAAAGATACAAACTATATATATCATGTCGGCAGAAAATCTAAAACAAAAGAATGTTAAATTAACGGCTACTTTAATCAATATCAATAAATCTTTTATAGACTATAGGCTTTTTTTAATCGTGACTATCGCAAAAAATATAATATTATTGCAAAATATTGTTTTGAGCGATCTTCAAATAAAGAAATTACAGCACAGACAAAAACACAGAATGAGAGCTTCATCAATCTAGCAGTGGAAATTAAAAGATATCATTGACATGGGAATTTGTAGTTAAATAATTGCTCCTTAGTTGCTTCAAACACGACTTTGTAGCTCAAAGCTGTTTTATGAATGTTAAGCTACAGCTAATAATGTCCTCCAGACCGAATTTCGGCTACGGCAGCCTGCCTCAACCGAGCTAGCCAAGGGCGCAGGACAGGATTAAAGTGCCCAAGTGTATGCGCAAGCACAGGTGCACTCTCTATTCCCTCACTCTCATAATCCGATGGGACGGTTAACCGACACGACCGGAGAGAGATCAGGCGCAGGACCATCGGCTTTACGTGCTTTACGAGTTACGGGGGTGAGACACCGCCAAATTCCTGACTCCGGGGAAATACTGAGAATTTCTTGACGAAAAAACTCAATATTTTTTTTTTGCCCGACCCGGGATTCGAACCTAGGACCTCACGATCAGCAGTCGCACTACTACAACCACTAGACAAACGAGGCAGTTTACTGTTATATTTATATATTAATCCATCCAGACATAACATCCTATAAAAGCTCACTGTTGAACATAGGCCTGCATCATAGATTGCATTACGTTGCAGGTGGATTGGCGGCCGCAGTTTTTATTATTTTGAGTTTGAAATTCGGTCTGGAGGACATTATATTAGTCGTAGCACGAACGGGTTAGCTTGATCAGTGTAGGACCACGCTCTCACGGAATCTTTTTACCGGCAACGAAGCATTCTATCTTAGTCCTCAGAGATGAGAAGGCATCTGCATTTTGATTCTTAATCAAAGATAAATATAGATGTCTGTGGGCCACAGCATCTACTTACCATAAGATGGACTATGTGCTCATTTGTCACCCTTATTCTATAAAAAATATACACTGTTAACGGCCTAAACAATAAAAAACTCAACATTATCCTGTTATTCGCACCTTCCCGCACGCTAGACGAGTAACACAGTTGAATCATAAAAATGCTATTAGTACTTTGTCAAATATAACTTATATATAAATAGCTGGTAAAACCCCAAAGTTTCTACACAAGTAAAAAATATTATTTTCAGTAAATGATTACATATTAGAGAAGTCATTTTCAAAGGTAATAAAAATGTTATGTCAGAGCAACAACTTACTCTTTACTAATGTTTCTCGAACGTAACTAAGAACACGAATGAGATATATTTTTCTGTTCTTGCATTATATACCAATTCACTTGTTGTTTTATCGTGTTCTGACGATGTAAAAATGTAATTCCCATCAGCCACTATACACGATGTTACATAATTATAATTGTATCGTTGTCTAAAATTAAAGTGTGACGATTACCCTAACAAACAAGTTTAAATGGTTAGTGGTCACATAAAAAAGTTTTTGTAGGTTCATCATTTTTTAATTTATTATTTATCAGGGCAGTATCAAAATTTGTGAAATCCCGACAAATTTTGCTTTTATATTATTAGTGGAAATAATAAAAATTCATTTCCAGGTTCAAATCTTTTACGAATATTATTATTTATTTATATTATTTACTATAAAAATCTAAGAGGACGATTTCTGTAAATATTTTTTTTGAAATTTCAGTTGTGGTGAGTATGCTATACTGTCAATGCGGAGGCTAAAACAACAATTTGCGAAAGCCTCTTCTACCAGTTTGTCTCTCTGTCTGTCTGTCATGCATCACACAAAAACCAGAAAAATGATTTGCATGGGACTTTCCCTTTCATGTTAGGAAGAGGTTCGCATAATTATACATCAACAGTCTACACGCTATTTATCGTAGGATCTAGGCAGTAGGCCGAGTCTTAATATTTATAACGCCCCACCATTTATATTGTTTCACAATTAAATTGTCGTGAAATTGATTACTCTGTTTGATTTAAGACTTTGTTATATTATTGCTACGAGTTATTTTCTAAATATCATATTTTTGAGTGTATTGAAATAATTAATTACTATACTTTTATATAAGTATTTTTAAACATGTTATGGCTTAAATATCGGATTCTTATGATGTAAATCACATCACCAGTAGATTCATTAGAGTTTATAGCTTCTTGCAGCTAAATGTAGGTATGCCAAGTGATGTTTATAAGTGTCAGGACAATAACTGAAGCAAGTTATTTTTCTGAAGTACGAGCATTCGTACAATTTTTTGTGATTTGTTGAAAACATCTATCTATATCTCTACATCTACTCGGATACCATAATTAATCTCTAGAATACTCGCTTCTTTACTTACTGCAAAAACAACTGTACGGGACTAAATAAAGGATGTCTGCGGCGGCTATTTGCATTGCCGCCCCAGTTGTCACAGATTTATCGAAATGGCCTTTGCAGGCTCATCCTACATCCCCGGTAACGTACTGTAATTGTTAACTTCTTCCTCAGATTATTTTTATTATTAAGTCAGTGCATATCTACGTTATTTTGTTTTCTTTTGAATATAATATTACTAACCCGCAGTGTTTAATTTGGTAAATTACTTCTTATAAGTATACTCTGTCTCAGCTTAGCACTTAGCAGTCAGCAACCGCAGAGCCAACTTCACCTGAGAATGCCTCGTGTAGAAGCGAAACACGTGTCGTGTTATCATCGGTGGTGTGACCTACCTAGTGTAGTGGTGTTGGAGTAGTGGTGCTGGGTTTAGTTGTGACGGGGATAGTGCACGCAATTTAGGGAGGGCGGGAGGTGCTTTCAAACTAGCCGCTCAATTCCCTAGCGGTCTCATGAGACCGCACCCACCCACAGCACTATAACCCATAAAAACTTATATTTAAAGACGATTTTATATGAAGAAGTTTGGCATTATAGAACCAATATGAAATTTTCTATACTATAGTTGAATAAAAATTCAGTTAGGCTATAGATATTCATTTATGATCTACATTTAAAGAGCGTTATTGTCGAGTGTTCGTTGTTGTATATAGTTGCGTTGATTTTTGGATTTTTCTAAGTTAAGAATAGTTTTTATATTATAAAATTGTTGTGATTAAACCATTGAATACCTGACTTTTGTTTAAACTATAGCACAGAGAATTTTGTATAGATTCTATAATGCCAAACTTATTTTTATAAAAGTAGTCTATAAATATAAGTTTTTATGACATGCGTCCGTCAAACCCCGAGCGGTCGCAAGCGACCCCACACACCCACAGCACTTTAAACCTGCGACCGCTCAGGATATGACGGACGCGTGCAACTGCATGGGAATTTTAAGAGGATTGAGGGGCTAGGTAAGACACATCATTTTATTTCATTGAGCGGACTTCCGCAAAGTAATACCTGATTCTATTAATTAAAAATTAACTTATAAGAAGTAATTTACAATATAAGCATCGATCTGTTACTGTTGAAGTTGAAACAATAGTGTAAAATATAGTTTTTTACAATTTACAATTAGGTCCTGTGTAACAGAACTACAAAACAAATAATAACTAACAAATATTCGTTGCAGGCACATCTAGTGCAAAATATATTAAGTATTGTAATTAAGCAAGTAATTAAGTAAAATATTAATATCAAAATAAGAAATTATTTGCTATAATGATCCACCAAAATGTTAAATTAACATAAAAATTTTTTCTTTTTCTTTTCTGTGGAATTATTGACGTAAAACTTATCATGGAAATGCACATAATACAAACTTACATTAGGTTTTAATATGAATGAATATGACAGTTTTTTTTAGTAAAAGGGTGACAAGTGAACACAGTCCCTCTGATGGTAAGTGGATGCTGTGGCCCATGGATATTTACAATGATCCGCGATTAAGAATCAAACGTAGACTAAGAGGAATGCCTCGTGTCCGGTTCTCTACACTCACGATACGAAACACAGCAGCATTAAGCTAATATTTTACGCTGATATTCTGTGAGAGCGTAGTCCTTGCCCGGTCGAGCCGACCCACTCGTGATACATAATATAGCTGCAGCGTGGCTTTATATGTTTTAAAGTTATTTTATCAGGTGTTTTTTAAAGATAGTGAATTGCCATAGCGAATTACGATAGAGGCTACGTTATCATTCTTTTTTTTTAATTGAAGAATTGTTAATTGAAGTATTTAATATACAACTATAGGGTGCACCAGAGGGTCAATTATACATACTCGTATCTTATTGTAGTAGCTTGGTATTTATTATATCTAAAAATATTTATTATCATAATCCTTCCGATAGTCATAAAAATTTTTGTATTTAACCATAATATTTTTTTTACATACATACTCAATTAAAATTATTTACATTTACGCTGTCGCACTTAACTTTTTTAATCATAATATATTTTTTGTTAATGGTTAGAATATAAAGTCAAAATATGCTTGTTTGCCAAAGATTGCCAAACTTATCTCGAATTCTGTTACTGCTGTGTAATCACAGCTCCTCGAGTCTCTTCAGCGAGCATTCAATAGCGTTTACATCAAAGGGAATCCTCCATAGGATACCATACAATTACCTTCTAAATTATTTCACAATGTTATCCCTGAAATTGTTGCAGATTGCACGTAAATGTAACTATTCATAATGAAAAATTTCTGCTGCTTAGAATCTTGGTCCTATATAATTCGTTTAGGAAACCTACTACCATAACCTGCTGGCACGTACCTTTTTCTCCAATGTGTACTTGTATGACATTATAGTGAAGTTGCAAATTATGCATTTATTTTCCAATTACATTTAAAAGCTTAAATTCGTCACGGAGAATATTATTCCTGGGTATAGTGGAAACAAATTTAAATATTCAGAATAATTTAAAAATTAAGCGCTAAAATACTTATACATACTTGTATATACATTACTTACACTATATAGCTCGAAGAACCAAAACCGATGGGGAAGAAAGGTTCTCGAGTGGCAGCCTCGTACCGGTAGGCGTAGTGTAGGGCGACCCCCCACTAGATGGAGTGACGTATGGTAAGACATGCAGGAAGTCGATGGATGTAGGTGGCTCAGGACCGTGCTTTGTGGCATTATTTGGGGGAGGCCTATGTTCAGCAGCAGACTTGTGAAGGGATGTAATGATGATGAATGATGATACTCAACACTTTAAATATCCGTTATAACGCATTCTACACAACTATCCCACGTTATAACGTAAGGTTAGATTTTTGAAAATTACGTATTTCATTATTTTAATTATCTAATAGAATAATTTTAACCAATCTCAAGGAACGTAAATAGTTTTGTAACTTTTCCCCGTTCAAATATTGTACACTGTAAAATAAAAAGTGTTGTACAAACTACTAGAACCTGTTTCAATCCACTTCACCCTCTTCAGGTTGGTTAATCCAAAGATTTTTCTTAGTGGATTCCTTTGCAATAAAAGAAAGCTTACTGCCTCAATTTTCCGACTCAGAACAATATTTTTCATATAAACTTTTCAAACACTTTTTAAATCCCCGAAAGTTTTTTTAATTAAAAAGAATATTATTAGGGCCTATCCTCATTTGCCAGTCACACTTCGTTCTCGCTCCGATCTCGGTCTGATTATTTTATATTATTGGAATGGGATTCGAGCGAAACTTATTTAGGCACACACATATTTTTTACTTGATAATGTTTTATTAGACCGGTATCGGACCGAGAACGAACTGTAAACGGCATTATAATGAGGATCAGCCCTTATCAGTATTCAAGGGAATTTGCACCAGTTTTTTAATACCTTACTTCTCCGTACAAATTTGAACACGCTCTGCCCCCAAGTAACAAGTTGTTTTTGAAATTCGCAAAATTTCTGTTCATTTATTTTATTTAATGAACTTTCAGTAATAGTGGAGTTAATCGCCACTTAAAATAAAAGAAATGATACAAACTGTAACACCTAATTCAATCTCTAAGGGTGAATAAATAAATATGAAAATAATACCTTATAAGTAAATTAGATGATCGCTTTTGAAATTCATTACCCATGAAATATTCATTGTTTTTGATACTAATATTTAGTCCTCTGAACTTCTTTAAAAAATTACCTATCGTAAATCTACCATTTATATCATGTTATCTATTTTCATCTATGTCTACCTGCATTTTAACATGTTATTAAATGTAGGTAGAGATCTTTATATTCTTCAGTAACACATCTCTTCTTTTTTATTTTTGGATTCGCTTAGGTTGCAAGATTCCATTCGTACGTTTTCACTTAGTATTACTATTAAAAGTAAAGGGTTAATTCTTGCGTTGTCCGTTTCCGATTTAGTGAAGTAAACAGTTTGATTTAATTGAGATTCAATATTAATTGTATGCGTGGCTCGGCATTTAATTCGCACCAACGGAGAATTCCGTTGTTCGCGTTGGTTAAACTCTATTTTTAGACCATCAGTTCATATGTCAGGTATTTTACGACCTTATTAGCTTAACGTAGCCCGGTCGGTCAGGTCAGGCGGTCATAGGGCTCCCGCTTTGAGCCTCACGTAGGCGCGTTAAAATTAAAATACGCGACCTTGACTGTCAAGGCCGCGTATTCTATTAGTTTGCGGTTTTTTCTGTTAATTTTTATTGGTAAGTTTTTATGTGAATACACTTATTACACTTCACATTTCATTATATCAGTTTTAGTTTTTTTTGGTTTTTACTGTCAGCTACTACAACCGGCTCCATAAATGACGTCAAGCGCCCCGACACTTGGACCTACGATCGTCGTCAGATAGCTAGAAATCGCTAAAGCGACCGTACACTGCTTTTACTTACTTTTACTTGATACACATATACATTAATGTACAATAAGGGTTCAAAATGCGTGTATGCGCTACTGTTTTGACATACCTAGGACTAACCACATAACTCCTTATCTCCTCAAAAATAATATTTTAAGTATGAGTTACACCAGAAAATTACAATACGCTTGTTTTGTACATAAATCATCCTTATCTATTCTTATCATTAAATAATTCGCAATGTCCTCATTATTTATATGAAAAATTATCTCCAAAATGTCAACTAACACGTTTGAGACGAGGGGTAAACTATTATATATACTTCCAACTTATAAGCGTGTTAAAGCAAAAGGAAGTTTCAAATATGCTACCTGTAAAATTTGGAATAGTATACCTCCTCCTTTGCAGGAGATCGTAAATAAAAAATTATTTAGAAAAAAATGCAAAGTATGGTTACTTGAACAACAAAAGTTAGAGGCAGGTATGAAGTATTATATATAACTACAGACTTAATTATTACAATAGTAATGCTCTTTAACAATGATGTTCGTAATTCTTACAATAATTCATGATTCAGCTTAGATTTTCAAAAAATATTTGGGCTAATACCATTGCGGGTCGTTGAAGTTTCTGGTAGGCCCAGAGGCGATTGTCTCTACCTAAATTTACATAGCACATATGAATAAATATTTTAGTCTATTCTTTAGTTGTATTACGTCAATGCCAAAATTAGATTAAAATACTGTGTTGTTTAAAATAGTGGGCTGTGGCAGAATACCGGCGGTGACCTAAAATCACCGCATAGCTGAGTCACAGGCCAGTTTGTCTCATTACTTTTATGTTACTTAAGTATGTTTCTAAGTTAAGTTTGTGATGATTTTTATTTGTACATTTTAATAGCATGTGTAAACTGAGACAAATAAAAAGCTTATTATTATTATTATTATTAATAACAAAAATATTTTGTCATTGCCTTGGAATTTTAATACCATTCTGTAACCTTATCTTGAAGCCTAAAGGAGTGCTATTATTGGCGACCATGATATCTGGAAATGCGTAACGTAACACTTTTGCATTTTTACGGCAATTTCGGACGAAGATGACCTCAATACGAAATTGCGCCCGCCTCGACTGCGAGCCCATTGATATCAAGATTCGTTTGGTTTGATTCACACCAGTTGCTTTACTTTAATTGCGAACTAGGTATTTATTAAAGAAAAAAAAAAGAACAGTAACTTAAACTAAATTATTTTAAATTCTATTTACGTATAAAAAATACCCGGGTGTTATGTCGCTTATATAGGTGTTTACTGCTGGCCTCTCGTCAGGTGGTCAGAGATTTACGGTTTTAATTTTAATTTGAATATTTTTTTAATTTATTTATGTTTAATTTGCACACTAAGTACAAAAAGGCGGACTTAATGCAACAGGGCATTCTCTACCAGTCTACCTTTAGGCTAAGTAGAGAAGATAATGGGGCTGCAAAGTGCAAATAATTAAGTTAAAAATAACTATGTCTAGACAATATACGTCTAGATACTATTACCGCATATTAAGATGCATATAAACATAATCACACAAATGTACTTAGTCAGGTCATAAGTTCAGTAAAATACTTTTTATAAAATTAATAATACACTTTTTGATAATTATATAGAAATTATAAACGAAATTAAAGGTAATTTAATTTAGAATACAATTTTATTTACATTATTTAAAATGCTCTCTCATATTTTGAATACATGCCCTTAATCGACGCGGCCAATCATCAATCGCTTCTTCACAGCTGTGGGCATACATTTTATAATTTTATTTATTATAACTTTCTTCGATATAAAAAAAAATCATCTGAAATACTCGTTAATAACTTCGAGCTTACTGCTCCCAACAACTACAGGAATAGGTGTGACATGGACGTTACACATGATCTTTGTTTTGTTCATGTTCATCTTAAGAGCTATCCGTCGGGAGGCACTATTTAGGTCATAGAGCATAGTGATTAAATCCTTCAGCGATTTTGCTATAAGATCTATTCATCAGCAAACCAAAGGAAAGTGATGTACTCGCCATTGATGTTAATACCATCCATATCCTTTCCAGTCCAGTAGTGTGAAGATGTCTTCCAATGCAGCGGTGAAGAGTTTCGGGGATATAACGTCACCCTGTCTTACACCTCTCTGCATTTGTATAGATTTTGTACTCCGATTTAGTGCTCGGATGGCCATCTTAGCCCTACTGAATAAATACTTCAGCACTCCGATATACCAACAGTGAACTTGACTCTGCTGAAGAGACTGTAGCACTGCCCATATTCGACGGAACCAAAGGTTTTCTTGTAGTCCACATACACAAGGCAAAGTGGTAGATTGTGCTCTTAGGACTTCTGTATAATTTGCCGAATAGTATGTATGTCGACTGTGTGCTCGTTTATCACCCATATTCTATAAAATAAATGTCAATTTATATAATGCATAAATTGTTATATTTCACTCGAGTCGGAAAATTTCCTAAACAAATTAAGTCTGACCCCTCTGTAATATAAGAATAGCATTTGCCATAGCTCTTTGAATTTTCCCTACAGCATTTGCTATAGGGAAAATTCCCTACAGTCGGGTTTTGAAGACTTATTTTTAATAAACTTCTCCTTAAAATTTACACAATTTTAACCACGACCACTTATCTTTTTGACATGATTTGATATTGCATTTTCCTGCGGTTGTATCAGACTTAGATGACGATTACGACGTAATATATGACGTCGTAATAGATTTAAAATGTGATTTGGTATTCGGAAGTCAACATAAATGAATTTGTTTGTGGTTATGTTGTAGACAGAATGTTAAAATTTTGTGGTTACCAATTCTTTTTGCACTTTATTTATGTTACAGGATTCTAAATTTTTTTAGAAATCACTTTTGACTCGTCTAGGTGGAACATTATTCGAAGATTTACGGTTTTCTTCAATAAGTTCATATGTCATTATATCCTTTTCAGAAGTTTCTTTTAATTTTATTTCATTTTCTTTGAATATTAATGATGCGAACCTCCTTAAATAAATTTTCAGTACCCATTGGTAGATTGTCCATGAATATATGTCATCAAAATTGCTATAAATGTTCATTCTGGTATTCAAAGACCTGACTTAAGGACTGAAAAATAAACAAATTTCAGATAATAATAGATATCAAGGATTTGGACATTTTTGAAACAAAAACAGTTATAAAAGTGTAATATCTATCTATAGAAAAAGTAAGCTTTTGTATCATCTCCATATACTAACCAGGTAGGCCACGATAGTTTTAGAGAGAAAGTATCTCCATTGGTACATATTTTTGAACACACATTTTGAATACCACAATAATAGCATCATATTTATTCTATATAGATTACAAGAACACTTATTAAAAGTAATTTTTTACTCTATCCTGACAAAGATCAGCAAGAAACCTAGCGGGACTTTTTTAATGAAATCAATTTACAGCGTGGAAGCGATCACCAGCCTCATTCCCAGGGGTTGTACTCTTTAGTAGTATAATGACCCTCACTAAAAAAATTTGCTTAATAAATTAAGCCATACTAATATTACAAATACGAAAGTGTGTTTGTTTGTTTGTCCTTCTTTCACGTCGTAACAGAGCGTCGGCATGGCATGATTTTTTGTATGGGGATAGTTCGGTGGCTGTAGAGTGACATAGGTTACTTTTTTCCGCGGAAAAACATCTCGTTCCCGTGGGAAAATCGAATATGTTGCAAAAGTTTGTCCTTCTTTCACGTCGCAACAGAGCGTCGGCATGGCGTGATTTTTTGTATGAGGATAGTTCGGTGGCTGTAGAGTGACATAGGTTACTTTTTTTCGCGGAAAAACATCTCGTTCCCGTGGGAAAATAGAATATGTTGCAAAAGTTTGTCCTTCTTTCACGTTGCAACAGAGCGTCGGCATGGCATGATTTTTTGTATGGGGATAGTTCGGGGGCTGTAGAATGACATAGGCTACTTTTTTCCGGAAAAACATCTCTTTCTCGTTCCCGTGGGAAAATAGAATACTTCCAAGATGTTTTTCCAGAGCGTTTTGACAGCGCGTCAGGCTGCTTTAAGAGCTTCCGAAACACCTTCTCAAAGTCAGGAAAGGCGTCTTGAACAGGCAGAGCGTCAAGCTACTTTAAGAGCCTCTGAAACACCTTCTCAAAGTCAGTAAAGGCGTCTTGAACAGGCAGAGCGTCAAGCTACTTTAAGAGCTACTAAAACACCTGTTCAAAG